TTAAAGCAACTGTAGCATTAGTATAGTTTAAAGGGCCAAACTCAAGTGAAGACTAGGCTTTTCTTTCTTCTTTTTCTCTTCTGTCCTGGCTTTCCAGACCTTGATGAGTGGTACTTGCATGAAGCCAATCCCTAACCTCAATGTTTTAACCATTTCATTTTCCTAATATATATTATAATCTTTTATATGGGGGCACCTGGGTGGCTCAGTTGGTTAAGCATCTACCTTCAGCTCAGGTCATGATCTCAGGGTCTTGGGATCGAGCCCCACATCAGGCTCCCTGCTCAACGGGGAGTCTGCTTCTCCCTCTGCCCCTCCCCCTCCGCTCATGCTCTGTCTCTCACTTTCTCTCTCAAATAAATAAAATCTTTTAAAAAATCTTTTATATACATATTGTATTTTATATATAAGATATTGGCCAATTGTCAGTATTATGGGAACACATCACTTTCAGCATAAATGCTTCTCTGGCAAACAGGCTCTCCCCTCCCCCCACCCCCATTTCCTTTAGTTTTTGTACGGCTAGTGTCAATGTAGGTGGTGATGCTTGCTTAGATGTTATGATCATAGTTAATGTAGTAAACAAAGGTATACCTCACTTTCCCTATTCTTCTCAATTGTGAATATTAGATGTATCCAGTTAACCATCATGTATAACAGTTACAGCACCCCGTGTGTATGTATATTCTGAGTGCCCTGGTTATCTTGTGCCATGGTTGGAGTGGAATAGAAAACCATACTTCCAGTAAAGTAGGAACTGAGTATTTAATAAGTATCCTCAGGTTCATTTTTACCAGGAAAAACAAAACAAAACAGAGTGCAGTTATGGGCAATTAGTAGCTATTTGTTCTTCTTGTTCTGATGTTACTGCTTTTATTCTGTTAAAATTAAACTGAGGTTATTTTCTCTTTGATTTAAATTTTCTTTCTTTTTGGAAAGAATTTCTAGAATGATGATGAGAAAAAGTGGTCTTTCATGCTTGGATTGGAGGAGAGAGAAATTTTGTTTAACAGGCAGATTAACATAAATTTCAAAAGAGAAATAGCAATAAAAAATCACTTTAAATCAAGATAAGAATTTCTTAGATCTGATGGAAGTGGGCTCTTGATAGTTGAGAAGATACTTGGAAATTTTTGTTTTTACAGCTTGAATGTGGAGCTGGTCATTAGTGGATTAGAACCCACTGAATACAATAAATATGAGTAGTCCATACCGACCTGAATAAATAAATGAGGAAGAAGGGACAGCTTTTTTTTTTTTTTTTAAGATTTTATTTATTTATTTGAGAGTGAGAGAGAGATCACGAGCCGGTGGGGAGGGGCAGAGGGAGAAGCAGATGCCCCGCTGAGCAGGAAGCCCAATGCAGGACTGGATCCAAGGACCCTGGGATCGTGACCTGAGCTGAAGGTAGATGCTTAACTGACTGAGCCACCCAGGCATCCGGGACAGCTCTTTCTTACAGTAGAATTCTAATAAACAAATACAGAATGAATGATGGAAATAGAAAATCATCATTAAGCAAATATCACAGTAATGACTACTGTAGGCAAGAATTATCAATAGATACAACAATTAGTGGAGCGAAGTTATGATGAGAAACAGGATATTTGCAGAATCTCAAAATGTATACCTACAAGAACAAGATACTTGCTGATTACAAAGGGTGGAGAAATTTGGTAGACACCACCGTAACCAAGTTAAAAAGTCAACAATCCCAGTAATGAGATGGGTGTCCTCATGTACTTCCTGGATGGCTCAACATCACTTCTGTGATATTCTTACCAAAACTGCAGAGCCTCAACCTAATCATGAGAAAGCATCAGACAAACCCAAATCGGAGAACACTGTAGCACATAACTAGCCTGTACTCTTCAAAGTCATGAAAGGTCAAGGTCATGAAAGGCAAAGACAAACTGAGGAATTGCCACAGATTGGAGAAGGCTAAGGAGACTCGGCAACTAAATGCAAGGAGGTATCCTGAATTGAATCTTGGACTGGGAAAAAAAAAAAAAAAAAGACATAAGTAGGACAATTTTTGAGCTTGGAATAAGGCTCGCAGATAGTTTGTTTTATATCAGTGTAAATTTTATTATTCTTACCTATGGTTATGTAAGGTAAGTTGGGGAGAAGTTGGGGAGAATGGGATTTAAGAACCCTACCCAAGTTTCACAATTCTTTGTCAGTCTAAAATTATTTTAAAATAAAAAAGTTAAAAAGGAATGTTCTGATATGATTTTGAACAATTTGGAATTTCTTTGTTGGCAGGGAGAGAATAGTTATATATCGCAAGACACCTCTTTATAATGTCTTTTGTTGGAGTTCCAGTTTTGCAATCAGCTTGAGAGTCTTTGTGATTGTTTCGGGTTTTGTTTTGTTTTTTAAAGCAGTAGCCCTTTAACCTGTGATCTAATTGAGCCTTCAGTAATCATCCTAACACATTTATTTCAGGTTTATAATTGTAAAAGACCTTGAACAATAGTGACTTAGCTCCAAATGGCAGTGGAACTGGGAATTTAATACTTTGGATTGTCTTTTTTACAAGGTCCACCTTTCTCTAAAGCCATGGGTATAACAGAAACATTTCAGAGAACTAGTCTAATCTGTAAAAGCCAACAAATGGTAAGGTCAAGGAGTCGATTCTTTTTTTCCCAAGGAGTAGATTTAAAAAAAAAACAACAAAACACCTTATGTGTCTTTATTGCCTTCTGAGTAATTTAAGCTCCTTCTCTGCCCCCTTTCCTCATCTGTCTCCCCAAGTTTCTGGCCACTGCTTTACCCTTGGTGCATTGTCAACCAGAATACTGAGAAGGTACAAATCTAAGTGGTGGGGTCTGGGAAGAGAATGGTGGTGATGGAACTAACTTTTTTTTTTTTTTACCACAAATTTCAATAGAAAAAAATTGATTTACCTTATTAAGTCTTAATTCCATAAAAATCTTTGATCTGTAAAAAATAATAAATAGGAGATTTAAAGTAGAATAAGAGACCAAAAAAGTTAGAGACCTCTGACTTCCCTGTTGGCAGTGATGTGTCCTCTGATGAAATTTATCTTTCTAATTTAAAATTAAACATCCATCTCTACTGTTCTTGACTTTTTACTGCATTAATTTGTGTCACCTTTCTCATTAGCATTTCATCTGTGTCTAAAGTACTTTATCTCCTGTTTGCTTTGTCTTCCATCAATTGTATTTGACAGAGCTGATACATATATTACATGTCATTGAAAAAAAAATCAGAATTTTTAGGAGTTGACTTTGAGGGGTTTGAAGAAGTTCTTCATCAGTCCAGAAACTGTTTTAGACAGGGGCAAGTAGAGTACAGGACTGTCCCATAGAATCAAAGGCCTTTTTTGGGGGCGGTGGTTAAAAATAGATATACAGACTCTCACTGAGATCTCTTGGGCAAAAGATAACATCATCTCCAAGTCACCTTGGCCCAAAAGTTGAAGTAGTATTAGATTATTTGTCCTCTACCACAATGAAGCAGTGACTTAAGTCAGGAGTTGAATTCAGATTCCTCAGTGCCTCCCATCCCTTTGGTTACCTGTGTCTTCTGTCTCCAACTCAGCATTTTTTTGAGACACCTTTGTCTTTTCAGAAAGATGTCCAGGCAGTATTATAACAGATGAAACAAAACTGGCTTTCAGTGTAATAAAAGTCTAACCACACTTTTTAAAAAAGTATGGTACAACACACATCATATAAAATTAACCATAATTTTTTTACAGTGATTGCTCAGGAGCGTTATTTAAAGTGCCAGATGAAAATGCAACCTTTTCCTCCCAGCTGGAGAAAAATGTTATAATTAAATTAAATTTATGTTTTACTGTACTTGGAATGGAGAAGACTGAACTTGCCTGTTTTGCAGTCCTTCATACATTTTAGCTAACTTCGTTTAATTCATTTGCAAAATAAATTGAATTTTTTTTGTGAGGAGGAGGATTCGATTTTGAAAAGCTTTTAAAATGTACTATATTTGTTAAGTACAATTTTTAACTGCCTCATTTTTTTACTCTTGTTTTCTTAAAGCAGACTTCCTTTCATTAGTTGCAGGAACTTCCGTCTAGATATATTTTATACCAAAGGATATGTAATGCTTTCGAGTCAGAATTGCCAAGCCTACGCCTGTGTCCTGTATCAACTTGCTAAATGTTTTGAAGCCTGATATCAAATCCTTGGGTCTTCTCAGTTATAAATCTTTTCAGCAACATCAATATAGTTGACGTCAATGGAACTATTATTTTTAGAATGCTAGTTTAAGAGCAGTTAGCTTTTCCTGCATCTGACTTTGAAATGCAATTTAAAAGGATTAATCTGAAATGTCATTTGGTTAGGTCTGAATCACTGTCATTTACTTGTAAACCTTTGGTTCATATCGCCATCTGCAATGGAAATAGGAATCGAGCCACAAGAAATATCTTTAGCATTTTTTTTCTAGCAAGACATGGATGGCAATGAGGGACAACCAAGGGCCCCCTGAAGTGATTTTTTTTTTTTTTTTTTTTTTTTTTGTCTGAAGAAATGATTTTCATGTTGCTTAGAAGGTTCTATTCCTGAGGAAACTAATGAGGTTTTCATAATTCCTGGGGCACGATCTACCTGACCTTAGTTTTTAAGGTTCTAAAGCTAGAACCATAATCTTTTAAACATTTCTTAAATGAATGTGGAGTGATAAAGAAGCATCTTGCATATATATACATAACTAATTGGGGAAGTCCGAAAGTTTGGTTGTCTGGTCCTAGCAGCTGCTGAAGGTAAGAATAGAATTTGACCAAGGAGTCTTGTCGTGGGTGCCTTGAGTTGTGACTCCTAGCCGTGGCGGAGGACTGGGGCTGCTGCAGGAATTGCTGCTTGTCTTACCATGGGAACTGTGGAGAGAAAAAGAAATTCTCAAACCACTGATAAAAAGTAAGCCAGACAAGAAGGAGAGGTCCTAGGAGGCTGGAACTCTGGGCCCCAGTGAGGACAGAGACCTCATCTTGTTAATATCTCTGGTTTCAGATTGCCTGCCTGGTGCCTGTGGATCAGTTTCAGCTCTACCAGCGGTTAAAATTTGAACGAGGTATGTATGCCCTCTTCTTTCTGTCCCCACGGTGAGTTGCGGCTTTCTATGTGTCACTTCACACTCACCTCCATAGAAGGCTAAGGAGGCTGTGGGCTGTCAACAAAGCCACAAGGGCACTCCGAAAGGGGAAAAACTGTAATTGCAACGTAACATTTCAGCTTTCTCAGCCACAGGCAGAAAAAATGCAGACTAGCAGGAAATAGAAGCTTCCTTATGTTGGCTGTTGTATATTTTTGATTTGGCTCATGTGAGAGAAGTTCTTCAAAAGTTGGATAGTTTTACAAAACAGTATGTTCCTTCAAATGGGTTTTACCACCGGCTTTCCCACTCTTGAAGATCACTTCAAAACCTTCATCGACCCAAACATTTTTACTGCTGCTTGTAATATTCACCATTTGTTCTTTTGATAACGCACCTGTAATCACCCTGATGGCTGTGTGTGTGTGTCATTCTAATACGATTCACAATCTATCAGGCTCATTTTCTTTCTGACTTTGGCCTTGGGGTAATTTATATAGCTTTTCTTTCTTTCTTTTTTTTTTTTTAGAGATTTTATTTATTTATTTGAGAGAGAGAATGAGAAAGAGAGAGCACGAGATGGGGGAGGGTCAGAGGGAGAAGCAGACCCCCCGCCGAGCAGGGAGCCCGATGCAGGACTCGATCCCAGGACTCTAGGATCATGACCTGAGCCGAAGGCAGTCACTTAACCAACTGAGCCACCCAGGCGCCCTATATAGCTTTTCTTTTTGTATTGCCTATTTATCTGTCAGATTTATTTATTTTTTGATCCTTTACCAAGATCTTTTTTAAGGAGCCATTTCCCTCCTGTCACACTCTGTACATTCTTGAACTAAATGGTCTGTTTTTCTTTCTTTCTTTTTTTTTTTTTTTTTTAAGATTTTTAAATTTATTTTAGAGAGAAAGTGTACGTGCACAAGCGGGAGGAGGGGCAGAGGGAGAGGGCAAGAGGAAGCAGACTCCCTGCTGAGCGCAGAGCCTGATGCAGGGCTCCATCCCAGGACTCTGAGGTCACAACCTGAGCTGAAACCAAGAGTCGGATGCTTAACTGACTGAGCCCCCCAGGCGCCCCTAAATGGTCTGCTTTTCTATATCTAAGAAATAGAAAATTGTTCCACTAGAACGCATTGTCTCATTGCGTATATAAAATAAACTCTCATCTAGCATGAACATACAATTTTCTGATTGCTAACTTTTAAATCTGGATTAGTAAAGTCTAAGAGGTAAGATGGAGGAAAGAGGAACATTTCTCTCTCATGTGTGAGTCTTTCATAGGTGGTCTTGCGTATCTTTGCTTTGATGCATTATAAATTGATCAAACAGTTTGACTCATACATAGAATTTATTTTTTTCTCACAGATACCCATGTCCCACTACAGATCCCATGAATTGATAATGGATTTTATTATCCCTATTTTATTTTATAGATGAAGAAAGTGACAATTGCAGAGGTTGAGACCTGCCTAGCATCACACAGACTGTGTCTAAGCTTCTACATCTATATGAATAATTCCATATTTTTTTATTAGGGTAACATCTATCAAAAACATAAAACTTACCATTTCACCCATTTTAGGTGTACAATTCAGTGGCCTGTTGTGCAACCATTACTCCCATCTATTTATCACCCCAAGCAGAAACTATAATTAAATAGTAACTTCCCATTTCCCCTTTTTTCCCCAGCCCCTGGTAACTTGTACTCTGCTTACTGTCTATAAATTTGCCTAGTGTAGATATTTCATGTAAGTGGAATCATACAATATTTTCCTTTTGTGTCTGGCTTATTTCACTTGGTATAACGTCTTGAAGGTTCATCCATGTTGTGGCATGTATCAGGACTTCATTTCTTTTTTTTTAAAGATTTATTTATTTATTTGAGAGAGCGAGAATGAGAGAGAGTACATGAGAGGGAGGAGGGTTAGAGGGAGAAGCAGGCTCCTCGCCGAGCAGGGAACCCGATGCGGGACTCGATCCAGGGACTCCAGGATCGTGACCTGAGCCGAAGGCAGTTGCTTAACCAACTGAGCCACCCAGGCGCCCCAGGACTTCATTTCTTTTTATGGCTAAGAATAATATTCCATTGTATGTGTATGCCACATTTTGTTTAACCATTCATCTGTTGAAGGATACTTGGGTTGTTTCTACCTTTTGCCTGTTGTGAATAATGCTGCAGTGAACATTGGGGTACAAGTATTTTTTAGAGTCCTTGCTTTCAGTTCTTTTGGGTATATACCTAGGAGTGGAGTTGCTGGGTCAAATGGTAATTCTATGTTTAGGGTTCGAGGAACTGCCAATAAGACATTTTTACTATTGTAAAGTATGGGAGTACATTACATTTGGAAGTATGTTAAGTCTGGTGACCATTTGGTTCAACTCCTTCATTTTATAAGAAAGGAAACCAAGGTCCAGAGACATTTTGATCTGAGGTGATTCTGGAAGGCAATTTGTAATTCTTCAGTATCAATTCATGTACTTCTTCATTATCATCCATAATAAAGAATTATTATTAGAAAATAGGCATGCCAGAGGGCCTGCCCCCAGCTGCCCAGGACTCCTGTTATCTCTGCGCCTAGCGAGCGCCCCGGAAGCTGCTGCCCCATCCTGGGAACATGATGGGCAGCAAGATGGTGTCTGCCAGCAGGGTCATTCAGGTAGTCAAGCCACATACTCCATTCATAAGGTTCTGTGACAGGAGCGCCTGGGTGGCTCAGTTGGTTAAACGGCTGCCTTCGGCTCAGGTCATGATCCCAGGGTCCTGGGATCAAGCCCCGTGTCGGGCTCCTTGCTCCGCGGGAAGCCTGCTTCTCCCTCTGCCTCTGCCTGCCTGTCGCTCCTTGTGCTTGTGCTCTCTCACTCTCTCTCTCTGTGTCAAATAAATAAATAAAAAATCTTAAAAAAAAAAAAAATAAGGTTCTGGGACAGAAGAGACAATCCTAAACCTAATGATACCACAAGTTTTTTTGTTTTGTTTTGTTTTTTTTTTAAAGATTTTATTTATTTATTTGAGAGAGAGAATGAGAGACAGAGAGCATGAGAGGGAGGAGGGTCAGAGGGAGAAGCAGACTCCCTGCCGAGCAGGGAGCCCGATGCGGGACTCGATCCCGGGACTCCAGGATCACGACCTGAGCCGAAGGCAGTCGCTTAACCAACTGAGCCACCCAGGCGCCCTGATACCACAAGTTTTGAAATCAGCAGGACTACCGTCTCACTCTTCGATTTCACAGCATTCTAAGAGAAGTAAATCCCCAGATTTGCTGATGCATCAGGATCCACCAGACACTGCAGATATAATAAAAACATTACCTCAGAAATACAGAAGGAAACTTGTATCTCATAAAGAAATTGAATTCATTCAACATGGAGGTCCAGAATAATCACTTACAGTGTGGCTGCCATTTGTCATCAGACAAAAAAGTAGTCTTTACAATAAAGGGCTTCCAAAATGGCACAAGCGAAATTATATAGTAAACAACTTGAATAAATACTCTGCAAAAAAAAAAAAAAAAAGAAATCTAGAAAATTTAGATGGACACCTGTATTTCCTAATATATGTGTCTTGGTCAGCTTCTCCACAAGTTCACTTAATTGTTTATATGCTTATTAAAGTATACATTTTTAAGTGTTAAAAAAAAAAAGAAAACAGGCATGCCAAGTAAGAGTAAATTTAAATTAATACAGTGTTACATAATGGAATTTACTTGATTGGCATAGTCTTTATCTAAATTGTATACCTCATTTTTACTCGGTAGACATCCTACCTCAAACTCAAGACTTATTAGCTGGGTGACTTTCAGGTCTATTCCGTGAAAGGTTTTTTTTCTTTGTTTGTTTGTTTTTAAGATTTTACTTATTTAAGAGAGAAAATGAGAGAGCACAACCGGGGAGGGAGGGGCCCAGAGAGAGGGATAAGCAGCCTCCCCATTGAGCAGGGAGCCTGATGTGGGGCTCGATCCAAGGATCCCAGGACCCCAAGATCATGACCTGAGCCGAAGGCAGATGCTTAACCGACTGAGCCACCCAGGCGTCCCTGCCATGAGAGTATTTTATGTGGAACTGTTTAGAATGGAATCTTGGAATGCTTTAAATACTAATGTTGTGAATGAGCTAAATGACTTAACTGGTGGAAAGTAAAACTCACCGGTGGGACTCTCAGCTAGAGTAGAGATTGTCATGGCTCTGGAAAAATGTAGAATCAGATCAGTGGCAGCCCTGTATCCGAATTCCAAAAATTTTCATTAGTTTTGCCCAATTCTTATTGCCTACCAAGTTCTCAGTTTTTAGTTGTCATCTGTGTTTTAATTGTCCTCTGCTTTATGTTATGTATATGGTTAGCTTGCCTTTTATAGCTTTGTTTTCATCTAAGTCTTCATGGGGAAAAATATTTCGAATAGGAATGAGCCTAAATCATCACTGTTTACATAAAGTGGAGAAACGGCATTTGGCATCGATTGGTTATTCTATGAATCCACTCTCCTTCCATCTGTGACTTTCCGTTGGCTACTGCCCTGTTTGTGGCTTTCCTTTTCTGTGTCAGGCTTCCAATATTAACAAAGAAAAGAGAATACTAAGTTTGGCATGTGTTAGTGATCGCTGCTGTGCTTTCTTCTCGTTCTCAAAGCACATGATGCCTGATGATTAATGTTAGAATTTTGCTTGTCTCTCGAATCTGCTTGCCCAGAATCTACTTTTTCAAAACAGTTTGGGTTTTTTTGGTTATTTTTTTTTTGAAAATTGGGTCAAGATTTTCCATCTCTACTCCTTAAGCACTTTTCCTATTTTTTTGTGACCTTGTTTTACTTATTATAGTTGCAAACTGCTTCCATGTCTTGGTAGGTTAACATGTCTGTTCTTGGATATTTGTATTATCATATAGCAGCTGGAAACTCCTACAAATGGTTCAAGTGTCATAGTGTTCTCCTTGGAAAAGAAGTGAAGTAAAATAGGAAGTTATTTTCCTGTTACCTGTTAATCCTACTGCA